TCATCACATGCGTTCGTTTTTATTCAGCTTAGAAGGGCACTGTTCGGTGAGATCATTCGTCTAGATGAAGGGAACAAGCTCCACGGTAAGACTATTGACTCAATTTGGTAGTTTGTCAGTTTGCAAACTACCGATCTAGACTGGCCAAAAGCCCTGATTCCCTGGAACTGTTTTGTGCATGAAACCATGCATGCGGTCGGTCAAAAAGAGACTTCCAGGAATTTCCCAAACCCCTACTCTGATCTGGGTGATTTCTGGATATGTTGTTTATAAGGTTTTTTAGTTTATATTAAAGGTATTCTGTTGGGAGGCTGCTAATTTAACCCCTAAATATGTCAGATTAGATTTTCTCCAGTCAAACTGGTATTGGCGAGTGAGGGGTTGTACAGTATTTGTTGGAAGCCCAATTGGTAAGGCCTGCATTTTCAATTGGTTTAGTTTGTAATGGGAAATAGTCCCATATTCCTGTAGTAGTTGGAAGAGGACTGGTACCGAAGAGGTCGGCTGTTCTAGGGTAAGCAGGATATTGTCAACAAACATTGAGAGACAGTAGCTGTCATTGCCTATCTTCACTCCCCTTATTGCCGGGTAGTATCTGATTTTATACTCCAATGGCTTCAGAGAGAGGATAAATAACAAGGGGGGAGAGGGCAACCCTGTCAAGAGCCATTGGTGATGTGGAATTTGGAGGAGAGAAATCCCGCACTGGAGACACAGGCTGCTGGGCGATTATAGAGTGCTAGGATTCCCGCAGTAAATACCTTTGGAAACCCAAATTTTGTGAGAAATGTCTCTATGTACCGCCAATTGAGTCTGTCAAAGGCCTTCTCTGCATCTAATGCCAGTAGAAGACCTTCTTTCTTTTAATTTTGAATGTGTGATATAATAAATAAAATTTTGCATGTGTTGTCTGACCTCTGCCTGTTACGGCCCGATTGATCTGTGTGTACTATGCATGGTATAAATGTTGCTATTCTGTTTGCTAATATTTTGGTGTATAATTTCACATCAGCATTCAGGAGCGAGTTAGGGTGGAAATTTGAGCAGGTGGTGGGTGGCTTTCCTGGTTTTGGTAGGGTCGATATGTGGGCTAATAGCATGTTGTTAGGGAGGGCTCCTTGTGAGTAGCATAAATTAAAGAGGTTCGATATGTGTGGGGAGAGAATTTCTGCAAAGGTGCATTAGTATAGCCATCTGGTGCAGGAGCTTTGTGTGCTGGGAGACTTGTAATGGCTTCCCGGATTTCTTCTGTGTTAAAAGGTGGAATCTGTTAGGCAAGAGTTGAGGTACCTTCAATGTGTCTAAGAATGATTCGATGTCTATTGTGGTTGGTGTTCGGCATTCAGGATTGTCCCTAAGATTGTATAGTGTGCTGCAGTATGTAGCAAATTTGTTATGAATGTCTTGTGGATTTAGTATTTTCCCTCTCTCTGGAGACATGAGTTGTGATATTTTAGAGTGGTTCATTCAGGCTCTCAATTGTGAGGCTAGATGGGCCCTGGTCCTGTGCAAACAAATTATGCTTGCATTTTCAGAGTATGTAGGTTGTTTATTGGTTCACTTTTGGGAGGTGTTATATCTGCAAGTTCCTGAAATATCTCAGTATAGGTTTTGAGTTTTTTTGCATAGCTAGCTGCTTTTATAGAGCTTCCCCTAATGACCACCTTTGTGTCGATAGGAGAGTTCGTTTTGAGATAGACTTCTAGATCCTGTCGAGCTTTTGCTACTATAGATGCATTGTGAGGCAGTGTATCATTAAGTCTTCAAGTCCCTGATCCTGTAGTAGGAAATCTTTGATGTAGTGATAAAGTGATCTGGGCATGGTCAGTCCATGTTATTAAACCAATTTTGGTGTCTTTAATTTTAAGTACTAAGGAACGGGGCAAGAGGAACCTATCAATTTGTGTATAAGTGTTGTGAACCATGGAATGGCAAGTAAAATCCGTCTCTGATGGGTGTAGTACTCTCCAAGCGTCTAAGTAATTGTATTGTAGTAATTTGTGTCTTAGTTTGGCTGAGGAATTTTCCCCCTTCTTACATGTGGTGTGTAAGACCTTATCTGACGAAGTGGAGTCCAATGATTGGACTAACAGGAAGTTAGTATCACCCCCGATGACTACCTCTCCAAATTTGTACTGTGTTGCGAGCGTAAAACTTTTGTCAAGAAAGGAGAGATGATCATAATATGGGCCATAGATATTGTTAAGTGTGTAAGGTTCATTATTCACATAGCACAGAGGTATCTGCCTGCCTTATCTCCTCATTTTTTTAACTAGTTAGAAGGAAATGGTTTCGCTAATTAACACTGATACCCCCTTTTTCTTGGATTTGTAACAAGAGTGAAAATTGTATGGAAAGGTTCTGGAATTAAATTTAGGTTTGCTGCCCCACTTAAAGTGAGTCTAATGGCTAAAGAGTATGTGTGCTTAAAGAGTATGTGCAAAAGAGTATGTGTGAGTATGTGTGAGTATGTTGTGCTTTCTCGCTTCCGCTTTCCTTTGTGCTTTCTCACCTCTGTTAGAGTCAGTCTGCATTTGTTAGGGGAGTTTAACCTCATTTGTGGACAGTATGCTAAGTGCCATATTAAGGGTTAATAGTCATATGGTATGTGGATTATTCCAACTATTTGGTCTTTTGTTTATTTTTTGTAATTTATATTTTTTTTTAGGTTTTATTGCCATTTTTATGATAAAGCATCTTTGTTCGTTTGTTGTAGTGGGTACATAAATGACAACTTATCTGAACTCGCGTATGGGCTGTAGTAGTGATGCCTGGGGTGTTTATTGCTTCTGTATGTTTGTCACCCCTCATGACTAGAGTTGAGCGGACACCTGGATGTTCTGGTCCGACGGGTTTGGCCGAACTTTGAAAAAAGTCCGGGTTCGGGATCGAACTTGACCCCGAACCCCATTGAAGTCAATGGGGACCCAAACTTTTGGGCACTAAAATGCCTCTAAAAAGTCCTGGAAAGGGGTAGAGGCCTGCAAAAGGAAGTAAAATGGGAGAAAGAGTAGGACAAGTGCCCTGCAAACAAATGTGGATAGGGAAATCACTTAAAATAACATAAAAATTAAAAATACAGCTGAGCCATAAAATAACACTAGATGAAATCTTTGATTTTATCTTTGGAAGAACATAAATTAAAATCTAAAGCATGGCTGTCAGGAGGATCACCAGAATTATCCATTTGAGAGAGGGTTGGAGTGCAGGGTATTCTCTTTCATTGTTCAAACTGAGCTCAACTCCTGATGCATGGAGAAAAGGCCTTTACAAGCCTCTGCTATTGTGTACATAGTTTATAATAAGTGACCTATAGGTTGAGGAGGCGGTGACCGTGGCGGTGAAGGTGGAAGGGGCGGTGGAGGAGGAGGTAGCCAACACTGTTTTTTATTTTTTGTTTTGTTTGTTTTTTAATTGGGGTAGCTCCCAAAATATTGGGACATGTAAAAAAAGAAACATTTGCGGCTTGCAGTGCATTTCTTGCAGTCCTGATGCATGGAGAAATGCTCAACTCCTGATGCATGGAGAAAAGGCCTTCCCAAGCCTCTGCTATTGTGTACATAGTATATTCTAAGTGACCCATAGGTTGAGGAGGCGGTGACCGTGGCGGTGTAGGTGAAAGCAGCGGTGGAGGAGGAGGAGGTAGCCAACACTGTTTTTTATATATATATATATTTTTATTTTAATTGGGGTAGCCCCCAAAATATTGGGACGTATAAAAAAGAAACATTTGCGGCCTGTGATGCATTTCTTGCAGTCCTGATGCATGGAGAAATGCTCAACTCCTGATGCATGAAGAAAAAGCCTTCACAAGCCTCTGCTATTGTGTACATAGCTTATACTAAGTGACCCATAGGTTGAGGAGGCGGTGACCGTGGCGGTGTAGGTGGAAGCAGCGGTGGAGGAGGAGCTAACCAACACTGTATATATATATATATATGTATATATATATATATATATATATATATAGATAGATATTTTAATTGGGGTAGCCCCCAAAATATTGGGACATATCAAAAAATAAACATTTGCATCCTGCGGTGCATTTCTTGCAGTCCTGATGCATGGAGAAATGCTCAACTCCTGATGCATGGAGAAAAGGCCTTCACAAGCCTCTGCTATTGTGTACATAGTTTATACTACGTGACCCATAGGTTGAGGAGGAGGTGACCGTGGCGGTGTAGGTGGAAGCAGCGGTGGAGGAGGTAGCCAACACTGTTTTTTATATATATATTTTTTTAATTGGAGTAGCCCCTAAAATATTGGGACATATAAAAAAAGACAACTCTGACGCGCAGAGCGACTGACCCATGCGTGCTGCAGCTGTAACTCCACTACCAACTGCTGCTGTTCGCACAGTCTCATGAGGCAGTGAGCGGGAAGGCCGAAGTTACGCTGCAGCGCAGACAGGCGAGCAGCAGCAGGAGATGAGGAGGAAGTGCACAAGGAGGTGTAACGGCAGCTGGCATATTACCGAGAGCCACCCTCAGAGGAGATTGTCAGCAGGACCTTTTTGGAGGTGCAAGCCTATGTCCTTGCCAAAAGACAGAGGGCGACCTCCATGAACCCAGATGAAGGAAGAAGGGAGCAGAGGGCGCCAGGAAGCACAACCACCCTGGCCCACAAGCTACCATACAATGCCTTCAAAGACTTTAAGGAAGCAGAAGAAGGCATCAATGACTTTTTACAAGACTTTAAGCGCCAGTGCCTACTCCAAGACGTGGACCCCAGCGACTGGGTCACCATCCTGGCCTGCAAACTAGTGGGGAAGGCAGCGGATATTTACCGGGCTGTACCAGAAGAGCAGATCAGAGACTATCCCTTTATTACCCAAAAATCCTCCTGGCCAGGTTTTTCGGTCACCCCCAAGTAATACCGCCAAAAGTTTATGGAGACCCGGAAAGGGGAGAAGGACTACCATGCAGAGTGGGCATACCGCATCATAAGGCCCACCCAGAACTGGCTCAACTCCCATCAAGCCAAGTTCCCGGGGGAGATCACCCAGCTCGTCATGCAAGAGCACGTTTTCAATGGGCTCCCCAACGACAAGGCGACAACGCATTCATATGACATCCATATCAACTTTCGTTGCCATTTACTGCGTCTACCATTGTGACCACAGGTAACAGGGAATCAGGGTTCAAGTCCTGAGAAGGAGCCTGAGAAACGGCTACCACATGCAAGGAAGGCAGCAGGCGCGCAAATGACCAACTCGCACAGGTAGTGACGACAAATAACAATACAAGACTCTTTAGAGGCCCTGTAATTGTAATGAGTCCACTTGAAATCCTTTAACTCTGATTAATTGGAGGGCAAGTCTGGTGCAGAGCGACTGACCCGTGCGTGCTGCAGCTGAAACTCCACTATCGCCTGTTGCTTCCCTGATCCAGTCTCTCCAGCATGTGCAAGGTGGAGTTCCACCTTGTGGGCATGTCGCATATGAGGCGGTGAGCGGGAAGGCCAAAGTTACGCTGCAGCGCAGACAGGCGAGCAGCAGCAGGGTGAGAACGCTGAAAGCGTGCACAGCCGCTACAGTGAATGTCACATCCTGTTCCAAGTTGCGGATCAGTCTGGTGATGGTTTCTGGTATCCAGTACTTTTTTTACTGAAGCTGCATCAGGGTCCTGGTATGTGAAAATAAGAATGTTTACCGCTGCCCTGTAAGCGCACTATTAGACGCTTCTATTTGACTCTCAGATATGAAGTGCACGCCCTAAAATTTACTATTTAGCAGATTAGCACCCAGAAAATAAGAATGTTTACCACTGCCCTGTAAGCGAACTATTAGACGCTTCTATTTGACTCTCAGATATGAAGTGCACGCCCCAAAATGTACTATTTAGCAGTTTAGCACCAAAACAATTAGAATGTTTACAACTGCGCTGTAACCACAGTATTAGACGCTTCTATTTGACTGTAATATATGAAGAGCAGGCCATAAAACGTACTATTTAGCAGATTAACACCCAGAAAATAAGAATGTTCACCACTGCGCTGTAAGTGCACTATTAGACGCTTTGATTTGACTCTCAGATATGAAGTGCACCGCAGGCCCCAAAATGTACTGTTTAGCAGATTAGGAGCAAAACAATTAGAATGTTAACAACTGCGCAGTAAGCAGACTATTAGACGCTTCAATTTGACTCTCAGATATGAAGAGCAGGCCACAAAATGTACTATTTAGCAGATTAGCACACATCATCTTCCACCCACTCCTCAACCCTGCCCTCCTTGCCGGTATGCACACTGCAGAAAGCCACAGCAGTTGGCACCTGTGTTTTTCCAGCATGTAAAGTCTGCAAAGGACATATGGAAATTGTTTTAGAATTGTATCCAGGCAACAGTTTTCTCTATACCTCTCAGTTTGACTTGTGAGGGTATTGCCCCAGAATTACAATATTGTTGAAGTACCTCTTATCTATTGATCACTGGTTTGAATATAGCAGCTTGTTATCTGGTAGTTTCTAGTGTAGAAAATATCAATTTCTTTTCTATCACTTAGATCTGTGTAACAAGTGTTGTATATGTGAAACAATATTACAAGTGACCGATGTAGTAAATTCGAATCAAAGTTACGCTTCGATTTGACTCTCAGATATGAAATGAACACCCCAAAAATACTAATTAGCACCATAAAAAAAAATTACTTTTTAAAACTCCAATGTAAGCAGAAGATTAGCAGCAAAACAATCAGAATGTTTACAACTGCACAGTAAGAGCACTATTTGACGGTTCTATTTGACCCTCAAATATGAAGTGCACCGCAGGCCGCAAATGTACTATTTATCAGATTAGCAGCAAAACAATAAGAATGTTTACAACTGCGCAGTAAGCACACTATTAGACGCTTCTATTTGACTCTCAGATATGAAGAGCAGGCCACAAAATGTACTATTTAGCAGATTAGCAGCAAAACAATAAGAATGTTTACCACTGCCCTGTAAGCGCACTATTAGACACTTCTATTTGACTCTCAGATATGAAGTTCACCCCACTAAAATACTATTTAGCAGTTTAGGACCCAAATAATTTTACTTTTTAAAACTCTAATGTAACCGCGGTATTTGAAGCTTCTATTTGACTCTCAGATATGAAGTGCACCCCACCCCACTAATGTACTAGTTTGCAGAATAATTTGTAAAGCTGTCCCTATCAGCGGCAGCATCCTCTCCCTACACTAATAAGACCGCATGGGCATGCGGCGCTACGCGACTCCAGCTTATATATAGAGGCTGGGTCACATGCTGCACTGGCTAATCACAGCCATGCCATTAATAGGCATGGCTGTGATGGCTTTTAAGGGCACACGAGTCAAACGCTTGTTGATTGGTTGCCATGCAGCCTTTGAAAACGCGCCATTAAATCGCTGAACACCGAACTCCAACCCGAACATACAGTGATATGTCCATGTTCAGGTCCGGGGTTCAAAAAAACTAATGTTCGGTACGAACCCGAACTTTACAGTCCGGGTTCACTCAACTCTAGTCATCTTATTATGCACACAAATTTTAACGAACTTAAACTTATAAATGTTAAAGCTTTAACCTTCACCTAGAATTCTTCTGGGTCCCCTCTGTCTCTGCTTCTCAGTAAGGACACACATATAGCCTTTGATTTAATTCTTCATATACAAATATTCACTCAACTCTACTATTAACCCCTTAAGAACACTGCTTCAGAAGCCTATCTTTCACTTAAGGAAACAAGCAATTTTCAAATTTCTTGCTATTTGTGTTCAACTGTAATTCACATTTTTCTTATTTATTGAACCAACACATATTTTATACATTTTTAAAGGACAAAATGGGCTTTAATTTGATGTGACATATATAGAAATTTTTTTTCACAGTTTTGCCAATAATACTGTGTGCTTAACAAGTGCTTCAGAAAACTATTTGAAAATAAATGTCATTATTTGTGCTGATTTACACAGTATATAAAATGCCTAGGATTTCAGTTTATTTTGATAGTTGCCACTCCCAAAATACAAGGAGTAAGATAAACTTTCAATGTGGAACCATTTTTGAAGCTCATATGTTTGCCTAATAAGCTTAATAGCCATCATAGGAAACACAATTGCTGCACAAAAGTATAGATTTATATAAACTAGACATCAAAGGCTATTTACCTAAGGGTGTTTTGACACGTTTTACATTTCACTGCCAACCTCTACTGAATGTTGTAGTAAAACTGTTTACTATTTTTTGATACATCATACACAAAAACAATAGTTTGTAATGTGTATTTCCTAAAGCTGATGTATGGTAAAACCCCATATTGAGTTCAGCTATGTCTCCTAAGTATAACAATACCCCCAATTTATGCCTTTATCACTATCCTGTGAAGCTACAATGCCATATAAGAGACCAGGCTATTTCAGTTTCTATAGTTCGACTATTCATCGATGGATTTGAAGGGCTTAAGTCTTATTTGGATCAGTCTAGTAGTTTGACTGCTCGAATAACCCTCCAAAGGGCTACCATTTAGTCAAAGTAGACACTCCAAGGTTTCTCGTATGGGATCTATATGTGCCTTAACATGCTGCCATTTTTTCACCAGTATATATCAAAGTTTGTGATAAAGCAATATGTTTTTTTCATTTTTTATATAAACAGAAAAATTTTGCTGGGCATTTTGTATATTTGATATGTCCTGCTATGATCAAATCCCACAAATTATGCTCAGTTAGCTCTTGAGAGTAAAACAATACCCCCAATGTATGCCTTTGACACTATTATGTGAAGTTACAGTGCCATATAGGAGACCTGGCCATTCCAATTTTCACAATAGAATTTTGAGATTGATTTGATGGGCCTTTGCCTCATTTTGGGGCATTATAAAAAAGTTGACTGTTTACAGATTATATTCAACTGTGTTTTATTGCACTGAGATCCATACTTTTGACATTCAACTTCCATTTGGGTAGCTCCATTTGGGTTTTTACCTGAAGGGAGGATAAAGAAGAAAAGACAAGCTACTAGTTCTAAAAAGGATAAGGATGCCCAAACTGTCAAATCAGGGAAACGTGAAAGTGTATTTGCAGGCTGTGTACTTTATTGAAACAGGATTCACAGAACAGGAACAGGCTATGGCTATGATTATGCAAAACAAAATTGCCCCGAATTACCTATTGGCATGGAAGGACAGAGTTTGCACACTGTTAAAAGCAAGATGTTGCTTGAAGATGGATAATGTCACTGGACAGATCCATTAGGATATAGGAAAAAGTACAAACTAAACATAGAGTGATCCATGACACATTATCCTGGTGTTTAAATTAGGGTTTTGATTGGACTTTTGGTAGTTAGTTAAGTAATATTGGTAAAAGTAATCTCCCAAGAATTGCTTTAGTTGTAATGATGCTTGTGTTTGTATTTATTGTAGTGATCATCCTGAAGTGCTCATGTCTGATCCTTGGGAACTGTTCATCACCAAACTCCTCTGGCAAACCCTCTACTAACTATGTTGAAAGGGCATCTGTTCAGCCACATCCTATGCTAGCTGAGGATACTGAGATGCTTACTTATGATGACATAAACTATGCACACATGTACATGGAAAGTCCTGAAATGATTGTTTAACCCCTTAAGGACACATGACATGTGTGACATGTCATGATTCCCTTTTATTCCAGAGGTTTGGTCCTTAAGGGGTTAAAGCCGCAACTCTCCGAATAACTTTTATTGGAAATTGGAAGTGTTGGACAGAGCTTTGTGGTGAAAGTCCAGTAACAAAAGGGGGGACTGATAACATGTGAAACTTGGTATTGTCTTATCAGTCATTTATCAGCCATCTTTCTACTTTCAGTCATCTTATTACTATCAGACATTTTATTGAATATGACCTATGGAGTAGAAACTCTTTTTTTCCTTCTGCTTTTTAAAAGGCTTACTATTCTTTATCTGAACTATGCTAGATTACTTTTTCAAATTTATGCAGCGCTTGCTAGAGATAGAGGAGACCCAGGGACAGGTGTTTGATTGGGAAAAAGATGTGTGGTTTTGGTGAACATGGTGGTTATTCAATTATTACTTTAATAGTGGAACAAGACATAACAATGCAATGAAATCTGGCAAGTCTTTTGAGATTAGAGTCATTTAAGCCTTAAAATTAACATTATTTAAATGAAATAACACAATACGAATTACATGTGTATGTAAAAGTAAAAAAACTTATAATGTAATACATTAAAAATGTAATTACTGAATTACTTTATTTTGAGAAACTGAGCAATGAAAGTTGCAGTTTTGAAAATAGTATTATCTTACCTCTTAGCTGTCCCTGCATCTGGATTTTTTTTGTTTTCACTTTTTAATGTGGCAACTGGCTAGCAAGCACTGGACAGCAGCCATTGGGGGTTTTACAACTATTTCCCTGCTGTCTGCTTGTGATATTAAACATCCAGGTTCAGATTTTAACACTCTAGTTATGACTTTCAGCTGTCCGGCTGTTTTTGGATCTGATGAATTTCGGACCAAATTCAAACTATTGTTAAATAAGTGTGAAGAATCCAAATTAGACTTATTTCAGCTATATTTTTCCAGTAGAGAGGAAATGCACACACCGTTAATTGAGGAATCCACCCAGTAGCGTGCATCACAACTGGCAGGTCCAAGCTCCCAAATACATCCCGTAATTTCAAATACAAATGTCTGGTCACAACTGTCGGTTCCTTAAAGAGGCAGTCTGTTATTGAGGAGTGCAGAACATAGACCACATTTTGGCATGTATCCGTGCCTTTGTCTGGCTTGAAAAATGCATGGTTAGGTGCCAAAACATTGTCTATTCTCTACACTCCTGAATAAAAGACTGCCTCTTTAAAACCCGACAGGTATACACAGATATTTTTATTTGAAATTACTGAATTTCAACAATATGTCAGTGCAGCTTGGCAGAATTTTGGTAACAAAAATACTATTCAGGAAACAATCCTATAGGGGCTTGAAAATAAGCCAATCAGTGTACTGCAAAATATCTACATAATATAAATATAAATATTTTGCAGTACAGTGACAGCATTGTCATAGATCATGCAGAGCATGGTTCACAAATCAAGTTAGAAAAAGTAACCTAAAGAAGGAAAAATCTATAATTATATATTGTTAAATATACACAGGGTTATTCACTAAACAACTGATTTTGTCTAAATGGTCAATATTCTGAGAAAAAGACCAAATTTCAACCACACTGGTAATTCTCAGATTTACAAAGCCAAATCTAAGGCCAAAAAGGGGGGTACATAGGTAGCACTTTATTTTATGGCGTGGCTAGTGGATTAGTGACCCTTAGATCCGTATTTAATAATTAATCATGACCCCACCCACTAGTATTGGTAGGAGCCAGTGGAGGGGTTGATGGGTTCTCCCAATAGGAGCCCAGTTGCTGGTTTTTAATGTTTAGTATAGATACCCCCATCTGCTGGACAGTAGGTAAGTCATATGGTGTTACATTATTTATTTACTGGTATTATTATTTTTATTATTATTTATACCCGTGTTATAGTGATTAGAAGGTTTTAATGACCCACCTGCACTTCACAGAAATGTTAATTTATAATTATTTTTATTTTTTTACTATTTTAATGTTATGGCTGGCTATCAAGTGCTGGACATTGATGAAATCCATAAACTATGTCTAGATTTTGCAGTGAAGAGTGAATAACCCTGACAATATATAAATGTATCAATATACTGCACTTTTTTTCCCCTCTATCGTTCACTTCTAACTTGATCTATAAAATCAACATTTAGTGACTGTCCCCTAGATATTAATCATCTTTTTTTCCCCATGATTCTTTTTTTTTTTTTTTTTTTGGTGCCCCATTGGCAAAATTCAGATTCTCGTATCAAAATGACATGCTCGGCCAATGCTTGTTTCATATACTTTGTGATTCAGCTACATTTGAGTTTTGAGTTTGGGATTCGGGTTGATCATCCAATCAATCCAAATTCAGACGATTTGCTGTTCAGAACAAAACAAATCTCCAAGTCTAGACAGAATGACAGTGGATGGTTTTGCTCCATTTGTGTTTAAAAACCAAATGTTTAGTAAAAAATAAATTATATAATCATATGCCATATGAGGGAGGTGAAAATTAGTCTGACCATAAACAGAATTAATCAGTTCTTCCATAATGAACATGTAACTAGCTTTTTGTCAGTAAAGCAGGAGGTATATATATTTAGGAAAATATTTTTTATAATTTTTTGATTACCTTTAATCAGAGATACCTTCTACTTTAGTGTGCAATGTTCTAAGCAATCAAGCTTTACAGAATAAAATAATAAAAGAATGTTTTTTGTTTTAAAATGTTTTGTAAATCTTTTTAGATATACTATTCACATTATTACCTCCCAACAAAATGTAATAAAGGGAAGCATGCAAAACCAGAACATTTTCCTCATCTGATATTTAGGAGTCTCCTAAAAGCCCTTACAACATCTCTATTCCTAAAACTATAGATAACTGGATTTACCATAGGTGTTAGCATCACATAAAGTAAAGCCACAAATTTATTTGTTTCCAGTGTTATGTATGAATTTGGTCGACCATACATAAAAACTCCAGAGCCATAGTAAATACAGACTACAGTAAAATGTGATAAGCATGTTGAAAGCATTTTTCTGATTCCTTTTCTAAAAGGTATAATAAGAATATGATATACAATTTGAATATATGAAGCCAGTATAATACTGAATGAACTCATCATAATTGTTAATGAAATAACAGACTGACATAGTTCTAAGGCATCTGCTCTTGAACAGGACAGCTTCAAAATGGGTGGAATATCACAGAAGAAATGATTGATGTTGTGGCTGCACAAGTGTAATTGAGATACTAAAACTGCTGGTAAAACAGGGGACATGAAGCCCCCTAACCAAGAGAAAAAGACAAGCAAACTGCACAACTTATAACTTATCATAACTGAATAATGAAGAGGATAGCAAATGGCTATATAACGATCATAAGCCATTGTTGATAATAGGAAACATTCCGTTGCTCCTAATGAAATAAAAATATACAGTTGTAAAATGCAGAATGAAAAGAGAATAGTCTTGTTATGAGAAATTAGAGTGTAGATAATTTTTGGAATCACAATACTTGTGTAGCAACATTCCAAGAAGGAGAAATGACCTAAGAAGAAATACATAGGTGTGTGAAGGCTTTTGTCAGTCTTTATCACTGTAATGAGGGCAAGGTTTTCAATAATAGTGAAACAGTAGAAAAGTAGTGCTGGAGCTGCCCACATTTCCAAATGTGGAAGGCTGAAGAAACCCATCAAGAAGAACTCGTCAGTTCTATTGCTGATATGCATCCCTTTAAGTATAGAGGAATCATGATACTGTGTTCAGTAAAAAGAAAACATACATAACAATTTGTGTAAACATTTTTACAAGTTTGCTAATATTCATAATATAGAAGATTGTTACCTTCTGAAACATTTCTATCACTTTATGCTACATGGTCAAGAGTTTATGTTTATTATAATCCTTACAAATTGTAAGACTTATTGGGAAAAATTTGGTTCGACTGAATTCCCAAAATATAAATTTTGTTTGGGATGTCCGACTCTTGCTCATGTGATGGTTAAGTTGAATATTCGTGGAAACATTTGGAACAACCAAAAAAGGGCAAAAACCTTTAGATTGTGAACTCTTCTGGGCAGGGCCCACTTCACCTACTATCCCCATATCTTATACATGTTTTGTAAGAATTAAATGCTTGTCTTGTTCTTATTGTACACTGCTGCGGAATATGTTGGCGCTATATAAATAATTAGAATCATAATTAAAATGGGCTGAATGGTATACTACAAAGTATGTGTATACTTTGTAGTATACCATTTAGCTCATTTTAATTATGATTATAATTATTTATATAATAAATTAACATAGATTATTTACTTATTTATTTATTTTACTTATTTTCCATCTAGTGGTCACTTCTCACTTGATCTTAGAAAAAAAAATCCATTCAGCCCAAATATGGGGGAATTGAAATTTGGCCCTATACAAAAGCATACGTCTACTAATTATCAGATCCAGCTTGTGCTTCAACTAAGCCAACAATAGGATTTCAATCGTATTTTAAGGAGTCTTTTAAAACAAAAGATCACAAAGGTGCCAAAATCTACTCAAAGGTTAGGACATTGTTGAGATTAAACTTAGGTTAAAATATAATTTCACACATTAGTCTGAAAATAGCTGCGTGTATCCTATCATATTATAATATACATATACAGTATCTCACAAAAGTGAGTACACCCCTCACATTTTTGTAAATATTTTATTATATCTTTTCATGTGTCAACACTGAAGAAATTACACTCTGCTACAATGTAAAGCAGTAAGTGTACAGCCTGAATAACAGTGTGACATTTGCTGTCCCCTCAATATAACTCAACACACAGCCATACATGTCTAAACCGTTGGCAACAAAAGTGAATACACCCCTAAGTGGAAATGTTTTGTTGCCAACGATTTAAACATTAATGGCTGTGTGTTGAGTTATTTTGACGGGACAGCAAATTTACACTGTTATACAGGCAGTATACTTAATACTTTACATTGTAGCAGAGAGTCATTTCTTCAGTGTTGACACATGAAAAGATATAATAAAATATTTACAAAAATGTGAGGGGTGTACTAACTTTTGTGAGATATTGTACATATATTTTTGTTTGCTTTTCAAGTACTATGCATTTTTTTAAACAATTTCCCAGTGCACCTGCCTATTTTTATTTCCCTTCCACTGTGAGGAAAAATAAGAGGATCATTTGGGTTAATAGCACCACTATAGGTACGTTATTATTAATTTAGAATTTAATATACAAAAACTAAAAGTTAAAAAATCAAATGCTTATTCACTTACCCAGAAGCCTAACTTCCTTCTTAAACCAACAATATGCTGTTTCTCAGTAAATAAATTAATCTGTGTTGCATGTGTTTTATTTATACCAATACGTTACGTAATGCAAACACTAATTATATGTTTCCCCAAAGGCTTTTATTCTCATAAGATTTGTCTGCTTGGGACACTGAACTTAACACATTTTATCTATTTTTATATGTACTAATAAATGTATTGACTAGACTTGTGCAGTGCAAAAAGATTTGTCTTGCTGAATGCTTTCATTTTAGCCTTATATAAGTTTGGAAGAATTTTCAGTACTGAGATTTTGATTTCGAAAGCCAAATCAGCAGAACACGAAAAAGGCATGTAATTGGGACAATAAATGTACTGTACAATATATATACTTAATACAGTATCATATACCTGTTTTGTAATACACTGACATTTGCTTTAGAAACATTTAAATACATAAAGAGAATAAGCACAGTAAAGGAGGAAAAAAAATATATATATATATATAATTTAATCTATATAAATAATTTTAAATTAGAGGGGCAAAGGTTTAAAAATAATTTTAGGGAGTGTTACTTTACTGAGAGGGTAGTGGATGCATGGGATAGGCATAAGGCTATCCTAGATATAAGATAGGGCCAGGGATTAATAAAAGTATTTAGAAATTTGGGCAGGCTAGATGGGCTGAATGGTTCTTATCTGCCGTCATATTCTATGGTTCTATGTTTCTTAAGAATATATCAATATTTGTGGTGGCAATCACAACCTATTACTTATGTAAGTCCAAATATATGTGAAAAGTTACAAATACTATGTACAAAAAATTATTAATATCAAATTAATAAAACTTCCCTTTAGCAATGAATCCACCCCAAAGATTTCCTCTAATCTTCAACCATAGACATAAAACAAGAAAGTAGGGGTGATTTTGCTAAGGGAAATAAGAAAGGCACGACATAGTGTTTAACTGTCTGTCAGTCTGAGCCCCAACAAACAAACTTAGAAGTTGCTTCCAAGAACTCACAGCCAGCAACTCTTGCAGCTCAAAAGCCTTATGCTGAGGTAGCATCTCTGGAACATTTTTCTCACCCACCTTGCCCCATACCCCACCCTCCCCATGGTACTCACTACATTTATAGATAGTTTAAATCACCTGTTTTCCATCCAAACTAATCATGTCTATCATCTTCTCCTCACTTGTAATCCCTATATTCACACAAAATAGACCAGTTAACCCTCCCCCCCTCCATGATCTCCTATGGACCTAGCTGCCCTTACAATTTCCTCATCTATAACAAAACACTTAACAATGTTCTCTCTACTATTTTTCTGTTTCACCATCACTTCTTTCATTAACAAAATCTCTCTATCTTTCTGCTTACCTGTCCCTACTGACCCCATCTTCATTGCTCCTGGTTTACTTCCCTCCTCTCTCTGTTCATCCCATACACTATGCCTCCTTCCATTCTGCCCTCTGGAATGCATGTTGTGTGTGCAACATAATAACTAAATCATCTTCCATCCATGACTTATTCATCTCACGCTCCCTTAACTTACTTGCCTTAATGGAAACTTGGGTCTCTCCTTCTGACACAGCTACCCTTGCCTCATTATCCTATGGTGGTCTACAGTTTGCACACAGCCCAAAACATGTCTGACAGTAAAGGTGGTGGTGTAGGGTTTCTGCTTTTACCCGACTGCTCCTTCAAAATTCTCAGGGATTTCAACATTCCCACAAACCCACCCTTGTCCTCGGTAGCCTCAAAATATATTTCAATCACCTCCTCCTTTGGGCTATCACGATGGGCTAATTCTCCCACACATGTAGCTGGCAATACCCTAGATCTTATTTTTTCAAATGCATGCTCAGTCTCCAATCTCTGTAATACTCCATTTCCTCTATCAGACCACCACCTCCAATCATTTGTTTTTGAGTGCCCCCACACCCAATATCCTCAACCTAATCCCCCTCAAAGAATTTGAATTATTTTGATCTCCAGTAGTGATGTCGCGAACCCGAAATTTTCGGTTCGCGAACGTCGAAAGCGAACTTCCGCAAATGTTCGCGAACCGGTGAACCGGGCGAACCGCCATAGACTTCAATGGGCATGGGAATTTTAAAACACACAGGGACTCTTTCTGGCCACAATAGGGATGGAAAAGTTGTTTCAAGGGGACTAACACCTGGACTGTGGCATGCCGGAGGGGGATCCATGGCAAAACTCCCATGGAAAATTACACAGTTGATGCAGAGTCTGGTTTTAATCCATAAAGGGCAGAAATCATCTAACATTCCTAAATCACAATCAATATGGATTGACACCTGACATATGACATATTGACACCTTGACATATGGATTGACACCTGTCCTCAGAGCCCTGATGCACACGGACACAGAGCAGAATAGAGACTGGTCCCCCTACATAGGGTCACTTGGCAGATATGGATTGACACCTGTCCTAAGGATCCCTGATACACACTGACACAGAGCAGAATAGGGACTGTTCCCCCTACATAGGGTCACTTGGCAGATATGGATTGACATCTGTCCTCAGAGACCATGATACACACTGACACAGAGCAGAATAGAGACTGTTCCCCCTACATAGGGTCACTTGGCAGATATGGATTGACACCTGTCCTAAGGATCCCTGATACACACTGACACAGAGCAGAATAGGGACTGTTCCCCCTACATCGGGTCACTTGGCAGATATGGATTGACACCTTGTTACAAACTGTTATTTGTAACGGGCCCTTTAAATGGCAAATTGCCCTGCTTCCCTGGGTTGTGGAGAAGCCTATTTGCCAGCCTCCTCCCGCATGACTATGGCCTCTGGGAGATTGTGAAAATGTATGCACTTTTATTTGGTGTGTATGGCCCTTTAAGACTGTCGGTGGGCATATTGGGGCTTATGGACTCTTTATGTGACTGGTGCTGACCCTTTAAACACCTTTTTTGGGACATCAGGAAGATTGGGACACTGCCCCTTTAAGGCCGTGTCCCCAGACATGTTGGGGACACTGCCCCTTTAAGACGGTGTCCCCTGTGTCCCCAGACCTGGTGCAAACCCTTTGTGCCTGCCTGGCTAATTCCCACTTGGTTCAGTACATGGGGCTTACTGAACCAAGTACCACACAGGCAGACCACCCAGAAGTGGAAGTGTGCAGGCAATTTACCTCCCAGAAGCTTAATTGATAATGCTGGGAGGTCTTTGTTCGTTTGCCGAACACGTGGCGGCGGCCATCTTTGATCATTCGATGAGGTCAGCGGTATGTGTAGCCAAATTCATGGAACTAAAATCGGCTACACATTTCCGCGAACACCGCTGAGCTCTACCTTCTCCCCTACTGGTTTTACAGCTGCAGAGACTAAGTCCCATTCGGCGATGGGACTTAGTCTTTTTTTCAGCCTGAAATAGACCGACCTCACAGCCCAAATCTATGGAACTGTTTTGGGTAGGAAAATGTGCTTGCGGTCGGTCATAAAGGGACCTCCAGCTAACTTTTTAACCCCTGGATGTATTTGGCTGATTTTTGGTTATGTTTATGTTTTAAGTGTGCTGATTCCAAATATGTAATTATGAAGATGGGATGTGTAGTTTTAAAGTTACAGGGTATGGCTAAAAACTGTATTTTTACTGCCTGTGTTTAATTATGTTAATCTCTTCCCAAACGTCATTTCGTTCAAAGTGGAGAGAATGTTAAAAAAATATATTTTTGTTCGGAGTGTGAGAAATGCTTTTCAGCCGCTTCTAATCTTAAGCATCATTTGAGGAGCCATACAGGAGAGAAACCTTATTTGTGGTGTGTTTAGTATTGTTCTGATCAGTTTAATACCTTCCGCGTCTCCTATCAGTGGACGTGTATATGGCAGCCATTTTAGGAACCGTACACCTGGGACCCGAGCAAGGTCACCTCGTTCAACAGGCTTGCAGCGTATCCTCCAGGAAGAAGAGCCTGAACCCTTACCGGCTGCACGTGTCTTACCTGT